ACACAAGAGGGCCACACAAGAGGGCCACACAAGAGGGCCACACAAGAGGGCCACACAAGAGGGCCACACAAGAGGGCCACACAAGAGGGCCACACAAGAGGGCCACCACAAGAGGGGCCCACACAAGAGGGCCACACAAGAGGGCCACACCAAGAGGGCCACCCAAGAGGGCCACACAAGAGGGCCACCACAAGAGGGCCCACACAAGAGGGCCACACAAGAGGGCCACACAAGAGGGGCACACAAAAGAGGGCTACACAAGAGGGCCACACAAGAGGGCCCACACAAGAGGGCCACACAAGAGGGCCACACAAGAGGGACACACAAGAGGGACACACAAGAGGGCCACACAAGAGGGCCACACAAGAGGGCTACACAAGAGGGCCACACAAGAGGGCCACACAAGAGGGCCACACAAGAGGGCCACACAAGAGGGCTACACAAGAGGGCCACACAAGAGGGCTACACAAGAGGGCCACACAAGAGGGCCACACAAGAGGGCCACACAAGAGGGCCACACAAGAGGGCCACACAAGAGGGCCACACAAGAGGGCCACACAAGAGGGCCACACAAGAAGGCCACACAAGAGGGACACACAAGAGGGCTACACAAGAGGGCTACACAAGAGGGCCACACAAGAGGGCCACACACAAGAGGGCTACACAAGAGGGCCACACAAGAGGGCCACACACAAGAGGGCTACACAAGAGGGCCACACAAGAGGGCCACACAAGAGGGCCACACAAGAGGGCCACACAAGAGGGCCACACAAAAGGTTCACACAAAAGGGCTACACAAGAGGGCCACACAAGAGTCTTATGTCTGTGACCCCTCCTGTTGTTCATTGATAAGCCTGAAACATGCACTTGTCAAGGTTCAGAGGCACATTTAGCAAATATGGCAGTAGCCATCGATCATCTTAAGATAAGATATATTTTATTGATCCCAAGTTGGAAACATTTGCGTTACTTCAGCATGTGTAACAGTTGTAAATATGCAGTGCTGTTAATTTGTAAATCATTTAGTATAATGATGTCCTTTTTGTTTTTCTGTTATGTTTATATGTATTCATGTGGAACCTACTTGCAGCAGGTCACCCTTGAAAAAGAGATCAATGATCTCAATGGGATTCACCTGCATAAATAAAGGTTTGAAATTAAATGAAATAATCACACAAATTCTGTGTTTTATATTTAAATATTCTTTGTTCTTTATTTATTGAATATTCAATACCTGACAAGGTCGGAGATGAAAAAACGTGTGTCACAGGTTCCTCAACAGGTGCATTACAAGACATCTATCAATATGTGTGTATACCTCCACCATTAAACTGTCCTATTCTGCACATTTCTTATACTATCTACATACATCTTATAAGAGTATAATACATTATGTATAATATCAGTTAACATAAGTGCTTCAACATAGTTAACATTGCTGGAGGTACACACACATATTGATAGATGTCTTGTAATGCACTATTGAGGAACCTGCGACCCAAGTTTTTCATTCATTGCAGAACTACACCATAGTTGTGTAGGCCTATATGATATGTCAATAAACCTTAGAAAATCTTGAAATCTATGTGCAAAATAGTCATTATATACAGTCTTTAATTAACTATTAGTAGAGAATAACGAGTAATGAATATACTTTATAGGGATCCTATTCATATCTAATAATAAAAATAATGAAATTCAATAACATGCTTTAACCACTAGGTGTCCCTTTATATCAGCTGTGCACCTTTATGGTGTAAATACAGCCTATCTACCAATTGGATCAAATATAAAAGTCAGCCGAATTAGTGTTGATACTGCAAGGAGACGTATTGTGTGAAAAGAAATGTGAGATATTGTTTAATGGCTGATATATTTATGATCCACGTCACGTTTTCAGTTTTGGCGGCAGTTCCTCATGTTTGTATAGATGTCTTCTCATCAGGGCTCTATAAATAGAGAACTACATCAGATATGTAATATTTAATGCAGCCGAACCGTGTATTACAATGCCGTTATGTGATGACCTCCAAAGAGAAAAGCAAGAACACTCGGAATAAAGTAATATTTTATTTTTTTAAAATGTTTTCGGATTTCACATCGCATAAACACAATTTCCCAACGTGAATTGCGGCTAAACCATCCAATCGCCGAGCTCAGGATCTTGCCTAAGTCTGTTTCCGGTGTTGTTTATGACGATGTGATGTGAGATGTGAGACTGGAATTGCACAGGGGAAAATAACGTATCTATGCCACAATTTTAGATGCGGATTTTGTTAAACTAATAAGTTTGCACTGTGGACCAACACTATACATTGACGGGGAAGGGGGTAGCAATAAAGATTACACCATTAAACTGTTACACAACATAACAGAAATAATATCGATAGCAGCGTCCCTAGCAACCACCTTGGTAACAATGAAAACGTTGTATAGACACAATTTCCTGAAGTAATCTTCGTAATAACTAGCAAACTAAAGATCATGTGCATCCACTGCACACATCATCTGAAATAACAACTCATATTTCTCGCATCAAATGACATCAAAACGCATTTTAATGGCCAAACTAACTTTAAAATAGGCATTTTACACCGAGAATAAAACGAAGTTCGGCCATGTTTTTTTTGTTCTGCGGGGAGAAATGTGAAGATCACGTGACATAGCCATTGGAATGAATGGTGAAAAAAAACGTAGGGATCTTACAATTTCAGAGGCGTTTTTGTAGAAATACTACGTCTCAAGTTGTGGACCAACGTAGGTATTACACGTTTAGATGTGAGACTGGGTTGGATAGTCATACATATTACTCTTCAAAATGAGCAAGATCAGTCAAAAATCCGCCATAAATCTAAATCAGGGGTGCCCAACCAGTCGATCGCGATCGACCGGTCGATCGCGGGGAGATTCCCAGTCGATCGCGAGATGTGTCTAAAAATAGAACAACAATATTCAGTTTTATCGTTAATGTCCTATAACATAATCTTCCTGTGCCAGAATAATGCACTTGGCAGGCGTGACCCCATGTGTCGGGGCGTGGCTGGTGGGCAGTGCACTAGTTCGCTAACGTTGTCCAGTCCGTGTCAACACACAGGAGTGACAGTCCGCACACACACAAGACCGCAATTATGGCAGAAGCAAAAAAGCCCAAAATATATCATTTTCACTCCGAGTGGAAGGATGATTATTTTTGTATCTATTCCAATTCAAAGTCCATCTGTCTCATCTGCAATGCGAGCGTGGCTTTACCGAAGAAGGGTAATTTAGGAGTGGCATTTCAAAACAGTGCACAAACGCTACGAGACGGAATTCCCTCCTAATTCTGCCCTACGCTCCCAAAAGGGGAGGGGCCTGAAAGGAAGGCTAAATGCACAGCAGTCCATTTTCACCAGGCCCAACAACAAGAGCAAGTCTGCTACCAGAGCATCTTAACGTGTCAGTCACGTTCTTGCGAAACACATGAAGTCTTTCAAAGACGGCGAAGTTGTGAAAGAAGCATTCCTGGAGGCTGCCGACGCGCTTTTTGGGGACAGTAAAAATAACAGCAGCATTTCAACAGGTTTTTGATATGATAAAAACTCAAGTTAGATACCGTTATTAATCAGCTGTAAATTTGAGTTTGTTTGAACTTATTAATTATAATTATTGTACACAATGGTATAAGAATGCAAACTTAAATTGATTATAGTCTATCATCAATTCAGGTTAAGAAACTAGTGTTGCTTGAATCCTATTTTAAAGGCATTTCTTTTTATAATCTACTAAAATGCAACATGTTTGATTCTATTAATTTTGTCTTTTTTATTGTGTAGCTTCAGATCTGAGTTGTCTTATTAGTAAGCCTAATTTATACTTTTGTAGCAACACTATTTTTTATATAATGGCAGTTTTATACAAGTAGAAGTGTGTATTTACCTGGTAGTAGGCTGTCAGTAATGGCTACGCCTCTCTATTTGGACTGGTAGATCTCGGCAGACTGGCAACTTTAAAAGTAGCTCTCGGTTCAAAAAAGGTTGGGCACCCCTGATCTAAATGGAAATAAATGCTCATGCCTCATTGGATAGGTTCAAACTTGCTAAGATCAACAGAAATGTGTAACTTTCTAACAGAAATTAACGAAATTGTGAACACATGCTCTGGGGTCGAGTATAAAATGAGATCTCATGTATCGTGGTGATTTAATAATGTGGACGCGGCCTATTACGTTTTATGACTTTACCATGATCTAGAATACGCTACAAACGCTAAACTGCGTACACACATCACAACTCATGACCTTTAATAGAACGTACAGAAAATGTGTACATTTGTTTTGAATAACATTAGAAACGGGCAAAAGCAAACAAATACCAACTCTTTCTAGAGAGGAGGTCGGAAATACAAAATAATTCAGATGGAATTTCAATGAAAATGAAAAATCTGTAGCTCAAACGACAAGCTGTGGGACATCTGAGAGGAGGGGTATTAATGTGTCCTGTGATGTTCTTGTTGTGATGAGCATGGTGTTGTGTGAAGGTGGAGGCTCTGCTATGGATCAGTGTGAGGACAGAGAGGAGGGAGCCCCCCCTCTCTGTGTGGACATGACAGCCAGACCAAAGCTCAGACGTGAGATCTCCAACTGTCCATGACTCTTCTCCATGTCACAGCTCAGCACTCATTATTCACTCAAAGCTCTGTGTGTTGTGTTTCAGCCCAGAGGACACACACTCTGCTGGACTTGGACCTGGACCTGGACCTGGACCTGGACCGGAACCTGAACCTGGATCTGGACCTGGACCTGAACCTGAACCTGGACCTGAACCTGGACCTTTGAAAAACAAAGAAAGTATTTTTTGCATAAACCCATGTTATTTCAGATGTAAGATTATTTAATATTTGTGTTGGTATCTTTTGGATCTCTGCAGGGAGAAAATATGGCGACACTGAAAAAGATCCTCTTCAGAACTTTAGAACAATTGGGGAAAGAGGACTTTCAAGAATTCAAGTGGCACCTGCAGCAGGAGGTCCTAGGATTTGAAGGAATCCCAAAGAGTCGACTAGAGGATGCATGTCGGACACAAACTGTGGACCACATGTTTCTGAACTACGGCATTAACACTATTAAAGTGACCAGAAACGTTTTGAAAGAGATTAATCAGAATCTTCTGGAGGAGAAATTATCAGAAATTCCATCAGAACCGACAGGTAGGTCATTAGTTAAAAAGGATTGTTACAAACAGGGAACCTGAGTTCAGATAAATCACAATGATAACATGGATTGGATGTGTCCTCCTGATATACCACACAGAGAAACACCACCTGTACATGGTGTCAGGGTTCAGGTTCCCCCACGACCCTGAAAGCTCAGTGGTCAGGGTCAATAGTTTCTAGCAGGGTCACTTTTTAGATCAGCTACTAAAAAGCAACCCTATTAGGCAGACCAGGTCCTCATCCTGCAGTCAGGCACTGGGGTCTACCAACCCAGTCTCACAAAAAAACGTGTTATAACTACGTTGGTCCACAACGTAGGACGTAGTATTTCTACAAAAACGCCTCTGAAATTGTAAGATCCCTACATTTTTTTCACCATTCATTCCAATGGCTGGCGTCTATGTCACGTGATCTTCAACTTTCTCCCTGCAGAAAAAAAAAACATGGCCGAGCTTCGCTTTATTCTCAGTGGAAAATGCCTATTTTAATAATAATAATAATAATAATCCTTATATTTATTATAGCGCTTTATCAAAGACTCTCAAAGCGCTTTACAAATACACATTAAACATACAGATCATACATGTAATGGTCATCTACTGTGGACAATACCCACAGGAGCAAATTCGGGTGAAGTGTCTTGCCCAACGACACAACGGCCTGACGCAGTGGGGCGGGAGCAAGTTTCGAACTGGAGTTCCCCAACGCCCCCTTGATCTGATGATCAAACGCACAGACCACTGCGCCACTCCGCCATTTTAAAGTTAGTTTGGCCATTAAAAAGCGTTTTGATGTCATTTGATGCGAGAAATATGAGTTGTAGTTCTAAAAGACGTTTTCGTATTTCCCATAATAAGAAGTGGCCAGTATTAAACTGTGTACGTCCCTGGAGGTTTAGGGGATAGGAAACACTCAAATGTAAAACATATAATTAATAAATAGGTGAAAATGGCTTGTGCCCATAATGGGCATTACCCACACGCCAGCTAAGGTCAGAAGAGCTTTATTTAACAGCTGGTATTATGTCTGTGACCCCTCCTGTTGTTCATTGATAAGCCTGAAACATGCACTTGTCAAGGTTCAGAGGCACATTTTGCAAATATGGCAGTAGCCATCGATCATCTTAAGATAAGATATACTTTATTGATCCCAAGTTGGAAACATTTGCGTTACATCAGCATGTGTATACAGAGTTGGAAATATGCAGTGGTGTTTATTTGTAAATCATTTAGTATAATCACACAAATTCTGTGTTTTATATTTAATAATTCTGTGTTCTTATTTATTGAATGTTCAATACCTGACAAGGCCGGAGATGAAAAACTTTGGTCGCAGGTTCCTCAACAGTGCATTACAAGACATCTATCAATATGTGTGTACCTCCACCATTAAACTGTCATATTCTGCACATTTCTTACACTATCTACATACATCTTATATAAGAGTATAATACATATGTATAATATCAGTTAAAATAAGTGCTTCAACATAGTTAACATTGCTGGAGGTATGCACAAAGTTTTACATTCATTGCATAACTACACAGTTTGTGTATTATGTCAATAAACCTTAGAAAATCTTGAAATCTTGAAAGGGATGTGCAAAATAGTCATTATATACAGTCTTTAATTAACTATTAGTAGAGAATAACGAGTAATGAATATACTTTATAGGGATCCTATTAATATCTAATAATAAAAATAATGAAATTCAATAACATGCTTTAACCACTAGGTGTCCCTTTATATCAGCTGTGCACCTTTATGGTGTAAATACAGCCTATCTACCAATTGGATCAAATATAAAAGTCAGCCGAATTAGTGTTGATACTGCAAGGAGACGTATTGTGTGAAAAGAAATGTGAGATATTGTTTAATGGCTGATATATTTAAGATCCACGTCACGTTTTCAGTTTTGGCGGCAGTTCCTCATGTTTGTCTAGAAGTCTTCTCATCAGGGCTCTATAAATAGAGAACTACGGCAGATATGTAATATTTAATGCAGCCGAACCGTGTATTACAATGCCGTTATGTGATGACCTCCAAAGAGAAAAGCAAGCACACTCGGAATAAAGTGTTTTCGGTCTGTTTCCGGTATTTGTTTATGACGATGTGATGTGAGATGTGAGACTGGAATTGCACAGGGGGAAAATAACGTACCTCAATGGCCCTGAAGCTCAGTGTTCAGGGTCAATAGTTCTAGCAGGGTCACTTTTTAGATCAACTACTTGAAGAAAAAAAGCAACCCTATTAGGCAGACCAGGTCATCATCCTGCAGTCAGGCACTGGGGTCTACACACCACTGGGTCTAAGGGTCCAATCAATGCCAGTTGGGTTGTAGGTGAAGGAGAGGAACATGGTATACAAACTTCAAACAACCGTCACCCCTCTGCTGGGGACGGATCCGGTGCCGGCTGTGGGAGGTGGAGCAGGACCAACACTAGACAAAGTTGGGCTCACCTCTACACATTGAACCAGCTCTGGAAAGAAACTCCTGGATAGGGATTAGACTCTTTCCTTTTCCAGAGTTACCCAGGTCACCTTTGAGGTTCATTGAGATGAAAGCTGTCCCTGTTCTCTCTGCCGATGCATCGACCAACAGTTCAGAGTAACTTGCTCTCTTGCAGTCTCTGGGTCAGGGCACCAGCTGGGGATACGTTCAGTAGTTAGGCTGGGGCTCCACATTTGCAAGGAGGGGTCAATAGAGTTTTCCATCCACCCTGTCTTATGGACGAAGGGAAAGATTATTACTGTGACCCCCAGGGCGTCTTGTTGATATTAGGCTATTGCAGGATTATGCAGTATTGGGCCAATTACTAAGAGCAATCCACTTCCTGTATAACTGGAGTGAGAGCTGAGTCCACATCCTCAGAGGTCGATCTGCCAGGGTCGTGCCTCGTCTTCCGGCAGCAGGAATAAGAGTCGTCAGGTTTAAGGCCATGGTTCTCTGGGGACCACAGATTGTTTATTCTGGTTTCAAAAATATTTTTTTTCAAGGGCACATTTTTGGAAAGCAACAAGATGCAGTGTCTTGATCCAAGGAAAATAATCTACTGTCTTGTCAGAAATGTGTACAATTATGAACCAAACTTGTGATGGTTATTTTATATTAATTGTAGTATTGTCTCAATTGAGAGATTTCTTTTTCCGTTCATTCAGCGCTTCATTCAGAGATTCTCACTCAGTGCCAAGGGAACCTCAAATTCAACCTGAAGAAAAAAATTGAGAAAATCATAAAAACGGGTAATTCAAGACCTCTAAATGAAATCTACACAGAGATCTACATCACCATGGGAGAAACAACAGCTGAAGAGCATGAGATCAGACAGATTGAAACAGCATCCAGGAAACCAGACAGACCAGAAACAACCATCAGACAAGAAGACCTCTTTAAAGCCTCACCTGGAAGAGATGCACGACTCAGAGTGTTGACAAAGGGAGTGGCTGGCATCGGGAAAACAGTCTTAACACAGAAGTTCACTCTGGACTGGGCTGAAGGCAAAGCCAACCAGGACATCCAGTTCACATTTCCCTTACCTTTCAGAGAGCTGAATAGGCTGAAGAAAAAATTACAGCTTGGTGGAACTTGTTCATCTCTTCTTCTCTGAAACCAGAGAAGCAGGAATCTGCAGGTTTGATCAGTTCTCGGTTTTGTTCATCTTTGACGGTCTGGATGAGTGTCGACTTCCTCTGGACTTCCTCAACACTGAGATCCTGACTGATGTCACAGAGTCCACCTCAGTGGATGTGCTGCTGACAAACCTCATCAGGGGGAAGCTGCTTCCCTCTGCTCGCCTCTGGATAACCACACGACCTGCAGCAGCCAATCAGATCCCTCCTGAGTGTGTGGACATGGTGACAGAGGTCCGAGGGTTCACTGACCCACAGAAGGAGGATTACTTCAGGAAGAGATTCAGAGATCAGGAGCTGGCCAGCACCATCATCTCCCACATCAAGACCTCACGAAGCCTTCACATCATGTGCCACATCCCAGTCTTCTGCTGGATCTCTGCTTCAGTTCTGGAGAAAGTGTTGAAAACCAGAGAGGGAGGAGAGCTGCCCAAGACCCTGACTGAGATGTACATCCACTTCCTGGTGGTTCAGTCCAAAGTGAAGAACGTCAAGTATCGTGGAAAAAGGGAAACAGATTTCCACTGGAGTCCAGAGAGCAGGAAGATGATGGAGGCTCTGGGAAAACTGGCCTTTGAGCAGCTGCAGAAAGGCAACCTGATCTTCTATGAGTCCGACCTGACAGAGTGTGACATCGATATCACAGAAGCCTCAGTGTACTCAGGAGTGTTCACACAGGTCTTTAGAGAGGAGGGTGAACTGTACAAGGACACGGTGTTCTGCTTTGTCCATCTGAGCGTTCAGGAGTTTCTGGCTGCTCTTCATGTCCATCTGACCTTCATCAACTCTGGAGTCAACCTGCTGCCAGAAGAATCAACAACCTCCAGGCTGCTTAAAGTGTTCAGAGACAACCATCAACTTAAACATCTCTACCAGAGTGCTGTGGACCAGGCCTTACAGAGTCCAAACGGACACCTGGACTTGTTCCTTCGCTTCCTCCTGGGTCTCTCCCTGCAGACCAATCAGAAACTCCTACATGGCCTGCTGAAAGAAACAGGAAGTAACTCAGAGATCAACCAGAAAACAGTTGAGTACATCAAGAAGAAGATAAGAAAGAACCCGTCTCCGGAGAGAAGCATCAACCTGTTCCACTGTCTGAATGAACTGAATGATAGTTCTCTAGAGGAGCAGATCCAACAGTCCCTGAGATCAGGAAGTCTCTCCACAGATAATCTGTCTCCTGCTCAGTGGTCAGCTCTGGTCTTCATCTTACTGACATCAGGAAAAGACCTGGACGTCTTTGACCTGAATAAATACTCTGCTTCAGAGAAGGCTCTTCTGAGGCTGCTGCCAGTGGTCAAAGCCTCCAGGAAAGCTCTGTAAGTGGAGATACAAACAACATTGATCAGTTTCAAAAATGATAAATAAAATAAATTGTGTTCAATGCTAATCCTTCCCCAGGCTGAGTGGCTGTAAGCTGTCAGAGAGAAGCTGTGCAACTCTGTCCTCAGTCCTCAGCTCCCAGTCCTCTAGTCTGAGAGAGCTGGACCTGAGTGACAACGACCTGCAGGATTCAGGAGTGAAGCTGCTGTCTGCTGGACTGGAGAGTCCACACTGCGAACTGGAGACTCTCAGGTCAGGATTCTGAATTTTATTTTCAGGCAGTTCAACTTTTAATCCTTTTTATCCAGCCTCAGGTTCATGTTAATAAAGTTTGTCGACATCTGTATCTTCATGCTGACATAACACTGAGTTTACTGTATTCCCTGGTTCCAGTCTGGCAGGCTGTCTGGTTACAGAGGAAGGCTGTGTTTCTCTGGCTTCAGCTCTGAGCTCCAACCCCTCCCATCTGAGAGAGCTGGACCTGAGCTACAATCATCCAGGAGACTCAGGAGAGAAGCTGCTGTCTGCTGGACTGGAGGATCCACTCTGGAGACTGAAGACACTCAGGTATGGACAGACAGACTGAAGGTGTCTCTAATATTTCAAATGTCTTGTTCTTCCTCTCATTTATGACACAGTTATTGACATTATATTTCTTTCAGTTTTTACACCCTCGTTGACGGCTGAGTCCACTCTACTCTTTAACGGACAGCGGTTCAGTTTGGATAGTTCTGACTGAGTTCGGCTAATGGCTAACAGAGCTAAACTCACAGCCGGACTCAGATTCTCTGTTCAGACGTTACAGGCTTACAACACAATCTGCCAGTTATGTGTTATAATTGTATCTTGATTATTTACTGGCCTGCTTTGACCGATGATCAGCATATTACCTAGTCGCTGATGGGAAACCACAATTTACTTTTTGTGATTCTTTATTACGTAAACTGATGATCGACACGTCCAGGTACGCATCCTTTTTTCTCCTCATAATGCCATCATGAACATCACATTCATGTTGATATCAGCAGGAGGAGAGCTGGTAAACTAAGCCGTTAGCCGTTAGCCGTTAGCCTTTGACTGTAAGCAGGTAGCTGTTAGCAGTTAGCACTTAGCTGTTAGCAGTTGAATGTGTACGGGATGCCTGTAGATCGTGTAAGTTTTCTCGAGTCCAGGAGGAAATTAAAAAGAGACAATGGAGTCTCGGAAAGTTTTAAAAAAGGGTAGCCTACTTTAATTCAGTACGTGGTGCTGGACCAACCCAGTCTCACTGGCATTTCGTGTTATAGTCACAACATGTAATCTATTGATTCGTGTTCACCAACACGATTTTTCCCCCTTTTTTTTCGTGTCACACAGAACCATTTTAAAAGCAATGTATTTCTACTGATAATGTGTTTCGTGCCTGCAGCATGTCTTTTTGTCCGTTCGGGTCTTGGAAGACCGGAAGCTGTGGGGTTCATAAAAACATGTTCTTACTCAATATCAAGCCACGATTATTGATTTTATTTTAAATCGTATAATGTCTGACTTTTTTTGTCGTCCGTGAGGAAAATAAATGGCTCAGAGCCTCAGGATACTGAAATCTGTATTTTTTAAAATATTTTTTTCCTTCTAATTTGTTATTATTTTCTGAATAACACACTGTTATTTACTCACCAATAACACACAATTATCCTTGCTTTTATTTATTTGTTTAATTCCATAATCTCGGGCTTTTTTGGCGTCTCCGTCAGGAAACTGAATTTCAAAATAAAAATAACCGGAAACAGACGTAGGCCTATAAGGGACATTTCGAGCTTCATTGCGATACACAGCCACTGAAACTGATTACCCAAGATCCTCAGCTATGGTTTAAGCTCGCTGATTGGATGTTTTAGCTGCCAATAATACCAATAGAAATACATTGCTTTTAAAAAATCGTTCTGTGTGACACGAAAAAAAGGGGAAAATCGTGTTGGTGAACACGAATCAATAGATTACATGTTGTGACTATAACACGAAATGCCGTGAGACTGGGTTGGCTGGCATACACAGAGCATGTACAGAAAGAGAGAGAGACGAGAAAATCCGTGAGCCTCTGTACGATGGACTGGCTCCTCCTCTCCACTGGCTGCTTCGATGGGCCGGCTTCCTTCCTCCGTGATTATTTATTCGCAACATACAAGAAGATAGGCTTTGTGTGTTCATTGTATAAACTCCACATGCCTTTCCTCCTCCTACTTTCAAACCGGAAATGCCGGAAATGTAACATCCGGTTTCACCTTCAAATGTATTTCATTCATTTAATATTCACGTATCAAATTGATTTTTAATTTTCTTACATGCCTCACTGCACATTATCCCGTTTATTACACAGCTACATGATAAAAAACGTACTACTCGACTCCCCGATATTACACGACGAATAGCCTACGCCTTTTTTTTACGAGTGGGAAAAAAGTCTGTCATTCAGGGCAGCATGCACTACACTATTTATAATCCAGGGGTGGTATTGCGCCTAAAAGCTGTTTGCCAGCCGCCCTTAAACAACACATGAAGAACAAGAAGAAACAACAACAAACGAACAAAATACAAGAAGAGAAAAGTTAGTATGGCGAGTTCACACAACACACAGGAGCTAGAACCACCTGCTTCTTTTAAATCCAGCTGTGTGGGAACATGTCGGGTTCCCTTGTGGACTACAATAACGATGGAGTGCGAGTGGTGGATCGGACGAGGACGGTGTGTCGCCGTTGTTCGATAGCGGTTGCGGTATGCTAATGGAAACACAAGCCAAACATGCTAAATCATATCAGAAGGCATCACCCAGATTGGCCAATCACCGGATCCCAAAGACAGCAGCAGTTCAGCAGCTGATCCCCGCTGTTTTTAAGAAGCCAAGAGACATGAGAGCCGAGAGACCAAAATAAATAACGGAAGCTTTTGGCATATGTTTTTCAACGACTTCGCGCTCTTGAAACACTTTCTTATTATTTATGATGTAAGATTTTCAAGACATTCTTTTTAGTTTTACAGCTTATTGAACCTTTTAGTTTGACATCAGCCATTATAGATAATCTGGCCATCTGAGTGTTTGTGGTTTGTTTTTAACTGTCTAATAAAGTTAATTATTCAAAATGTCAGAGTTCCTTATTTTTAAACTGAAACTTGCACTACTGTTCAAAAATAAATAACAAACCCTGGAATTATGCATTTGGGACTTTTTTTTTTCTTTTTCTTGTTGTACCGAACCCGAACCGAACTGTGACCCCCAAAACCGAGGTACGAACCGAACCGTGACTTCTGTGAACCACCCGATATGAATTCAGATGATTTGATTGACTTTAAAATGATGGTCATGGTGACGGTGACGTCACCATACCGAATGGCAGCCTAGTCTAGCTTCTCCCCCGGTAAGAGATTCATTTCGCCTCGTTTTAATTGCTAAATAAGAATGTCTCCGTTAAAATTACAAATAGTTAACGGGGCGAAGATGGGAAGAAAGGATGGACAAAGAAAAACATTGGCTCAGAGTCTACCAATGAAGAAAATACAACGAAACAACTCGCCTGCACAGGTTGATGATGAGGAAGCTAGCGCAGAGCAACATGTGGCTAGCTTAGCTAAAGTTCTGGAGGAGATACGGACTTCTGCAAAGACACAAACAACAAATAAACTAAATCAAATCCGAGCTTACCAACGTCCAACGTTAAAATAGCGGAGGCAGAAATGAGAATTGAAAACGTGGAAGGTGCTGAGCAAGATGATAAGGTAATGAATCGGCACGAAAATAAACTGACTGACGAAGAAGGAAGATCCCGACGGGAGAATATAAGGATTTATAATGTGAGGGAGCGGAGGGGTCATCTATGGTTGACTTTGTGAAGAGTTTACCTTACAAGAGTACTTGAGATCCTGCCACCACGGAAGCTCGGCATTGAAAGAGCGCACCGGGCGCTCGTACCGAGGGCCTCCGGAGACAGAGAGGACAAGCCGCGTCAATAAACTATCAAGTTTTCTCCGATACTCAACAAAAGACGATATTATACGCAAGCCATGGGGGAAAAGGTGTCTTTGAACGGGAGACAGATATTTTTCGACCAAGATTACCCACCAGCTATATTGCAAAAACGTAAAGTCTACTCCGAGGCAAAGCGAGTGCTAAGGCAGAGAAATATTCGCTTCCAGAACCCCGTTCCCTGCTAAACTACGAGTATTTGGGAGAACGGGACGAGGCTGCTACCAGACTGCTGGTGGAAGCATCCAGAGACATGAAGGGACAGAGGACAGCGTCACCATTGATCACACCGAGAGAGAGGCTGAGCAGCTGTCCGCCTGGGAGACGGTTGGGAGGAGAGGAGCGAGGGAGGAGGAATATCAGGGAGAAACTTTTTTCAGGAGTCAAGTCCCATCCGCCTGAAGACATTAGGAATACATACCCATTGATATGGCACACAACATCCATCAAGTATTTGGGCATTAACATCCCTAAAGATCTTTCAAAAGTATTCAAATGCAATTTCCTACCTGTGGAGAACATAATGAAGGAAGATATAGCAAGATGGAACCTAATTCCTTTCTTTAATATTTCTTCAATAATTGAATCTATTAAAATCAATATACTACCTAGATTATTATATCTATTCCAAACCCTACCTATAGAGATCAACCAAACTCAATTTAAGGAATGGGAAACATTTATATCAAGATATATATGGCAAGGTAAAAGACCGAGGGTTCGTCTCAATACTTTACAACTGGCCACAGAAGAAGGGGGGTGGGGTTGACCCTCTCAGAGATTACCAGATTGGGGGACCAAGTCATTGTTTTGCAAGTCCGAGTCAAGTCTCAAGTCTTTGCGCTCAAGTCCAAATCAAGTCTCAAGTCAGGATAGGCAAGTTTCAAGTCAAGTCCAAGTCTAAACTTTGACAAAACGAGTCTTAAACAAGTCATTATGTGCTTTTCACCAAATGTAATGACATCTATCAACAGAATAATACTTAATAATCAAAACTGCTCTTTATTAGTCACATTCATAATTTATAATCCATTTTCTCTCTGCTGGTAAAGTAACGTGTGTTTTTCTATTTAACCTCTTAAACCCGGCCCCCCCCGATACCGGGCGGAAAAAACACGTCACTGCAGGAGACAGCGTCTGGGGGCTTCTTAATATTTAAAAACCTATGAATGTCTTATACTCAAATAACGGGAAAAAACTCAGCAACCTGATGATATGAGCCATTTTTACTGAAACAAAACACAAGTCTCACAAGAAGCGTTAGCATTAGCCCTTAGTGAAAACAGGCTGATGCTACTTTCCGGTGCTAACTAGCAAAAACGATCTTTAAAACTTAATATGTTCTGCACAAACTACATATCAGCTGAAAGCTGATACTCCACAGATTATTTTGATATAAGTATCAACACTGTAGGACACAAACTCACTGAGCGAGCAGCCAGGACAGAGCAAGAAAAACAACAACAGTGTTCTAAACCATAACAATAATGATGTCTTACCGTTGCTGTTTTGTGAATCAAAAGTCGTGTTCAAGGGAATAAAAACGCTGCTCAAGGTTAATCCAATGTCT